GAAAGTGAGCATGCGCAGAAAAAGATAGAAAACAGGGCGAGCACCTATAACGGCCTTACATAAAAATATCACTAGAATGATTGACAATTATTTAGATGGTCCTCCCAGAAATAAAATATTATCCTCTATAACTTTAATTGTTTTAACTTTTACCCCAAATGTAGTTATTTTAATTTTAATAAGATCATAATCATTTACTCCTTTGGGATTCTTTTCTAATTTATTTTATTTTGGTCCTGTGCAAGAAACTGTCTAGATGGAGTAATGAGTGTGTTGGGTTAAAAAATGTAGGTTTTGTAAAAGGAAGAACTGAAATTCACAGTAATGGATTTTCATATGGCTTCTGCAGAAAGAAAAGACAGTTGAACCCCAGACTCAAACACACTGTCCCCCACTGGACCTCCTCCGCAGAGCGTTTTATTAACAGAACATGACACATGGTTACAAACAGAGTATTGTTCTGACGGAACAATTGATCAGTTCATAAAGACAGGATGCTCCACTAGAATGACAAGGCAGGATGGTCTCCTGACTGAATCATGAGACAGGAGTGGAGCATCTCATTTCTACAATGTTTCATATGAACACACATTACTTTAATAATCATCATTGAATAAACCTAACAGAGTGGGTAACAGAAGAGAAGCTGCAGAGAGCTTTGTTTAACTCAGACTGTTTCCTGGTCTGCACCTTGGCCTGTCAGGGTTTTGGAGGACTAATAAATTTGGTCAGATTCCTAGAAAGAAGAGCTGCACCATCCAAAGCGGGATGGAGGCCGTCTCTCAAACTTCAATTTCTCATAATTTTTCACATTCTCACAGACGACCTGTGTTGGATAGATCTTAGGCCAGAAATGAGTACATTTATTCTGGCCTGTTTGTTTACTTTTGCAGAATTTTCATTGGGCAAACACACAGCCAACTAATCTCTCCAAACAGCAGTGTTGTGGACCCCATTTATCACAAATTAAACTAGTTTGTTGTTTATTGATTTTTTTATCTGTGTTCTTGTTCCCCTTTTTACATGGGCAGTAAACCCAGTTCAAAAGCAGCCTGTCATGGTCTCATTACGTGAAATTGCATAAAGACTGAACAAAATAGCTATACAAATATATGCGTTTCGTTCATCAAACCACTGTTTGTGTGACCTGATACAGTTCATCATCAGAGATGGCAAAAGTACTCACTTTCCATACTTGAGTAAAAGTACAGATACTTGTGTTAAAAAATACTCTGGTAAAAGTGGAAGTACTGATTAAACTTCTTTACTCAAGTAAAAGTAACAAAGTACAGGCTTGTAAATTTACTTAAAGTATAAAAGTAAAAGTAGAAACCACTTTTTTCATGCCGTTGCCTACATTTTAAATGGATGTCTGCCAATAGGACTAGATCTACGTTGTAGATCTACATTTTCAATCATCTCGTCGTCCTTACTACTATGCTAACGCCACCGCCACCAAGCTGCAATGATTTGCCGCAAATGAATACCGCCGAATCTGTTGATTCATCTTGTAGTGGTGCGTCAAATGCAACGTAGATTCCCATCCAATTAGATTGAATTTGGTATTGAACCAAAACAAGAAAATCAAGGAAAAGCGAGAGCATTTGAAAATATATATACATGTTTTAAGCTAAAAGAAGTAAAGAGCTAAGTTAAAGCTGCAGCAAAACTTATTGTTCACATGTATCAGGGCAGATTTACAGAACAGAGTGTAGAAAACAAACAGGTGCAGATGGGAAGGCTGAGAATGACGTTGCTCTGACACACACACAGAAAAAGCTGATTAACAGGGGAGCAGAAAGGCAGGAAGCAACTCCATATTTGGAGATAGGAAGTAGGGAGTATGATCATTCTGTGGGACTGTCTGTGTGAAACTGTAACATTTTCCCCTATGAAGATAATAAAAAGAGTTGGTGTTGCAGGGGGGGTCAGAGTTGCTGTTCGCAGATGCGTGCTGCTGATGCTCTTCTCCCTTTGCAAAGGCGAATCGAAGCTTTGTTGTCCAGAATTTTTTTATAACGCTCCATCTCAGTTAAGTTACTTGCACTCGAATTAACGGACCCGGGGGGAAACCATGACAGTGTTTTTCAACACATGGAATGTAATAACAAGTAAATGACTTTTTGTTACAATTTGAAAAATAAAGTTTGAATAGTTGGAAGGAAGCATGAGAGGCCCAATTGTTCTGTTTGCAGTCAGAAGACCAGTTTTTCTTGAAAATGTGCTGTTTACAGATGTGTTGCTTTCTTAATGATAGGTCGAAATGGATTTATATTTACATTCAGGAATTTACATAGCGGGTCGACTTACTCCTTTAAACTGCCTTTTTTATTTATAGCTTATGGTTAAGAAGAAGAAATGACACTCCATTGTGAGACAGATTTTAGTTTTTTTCCTCACACCTGTGAACGACACTATTCTTTGTGTGGGATTCTTTGCACTAACTGTTTTTCTGTGGATACAAGTTAATCTAATCCGGAAAAAAAATATATGTCTGGTTGAGTTTTTGCGAACAGTCTTTAGAAATATTTTTTCAGGAGGCATCAACTCGCCACCTACGCTTCAGGAACATCTGCAGTGTGCATAGATTTCAACCACTTAAACGCGCCACAATTTAATCTATCACACCTTCAACTCCAAAGCTACAAAAATACTACACTTATTAGACATACTATTATCACTAAAGGTGGCAGAGGAATAATTAAACATCCAACACAGAAAGCAGGAGTACGGAAGCTGGGAGCGGTCGTACTCGACTTTTTATTTTTCATTTGTCTTCTCGAGATAATGACATAGCCATCTCGTTACCACGGTTAAACCATGAATTATTTTCTCGAGATAACGATAATTATCTTGTTATCACAAGAAAACAGTTATTGATTTCTTGAGATAACAAGATGATTAACCTGCATGAGTAATGAATGAGACTGGGCAACAACCCTGGATTCCCAGTCCAGTCTCGTTACTGCTTGTGCACAAATAATAATTTTTTTTTAGCTTCCTTCTTCTTTTCACTCATTTTCAGGTAGTGGTGGATGATTGGATTGCATGGAAGAAACAAATCAGATTTTTTCTTTTTATGAAAATTTTTAATCTGGACTCATTCTGAGGGTTAATGCATCTTATACCTGTTACTGGCGTTAAAGGTAGGGCTGTTCAGAAAACACCGGTGTAGGTACCAGATCCCCGTGAGTTGTCAGATCTGCTCGGGCCACTGATGTTATTGATTGGCTGAACGTTGCCACAATGACGTAAAACATAGTGGTCGCCCCGACAACGATAATGACAATGCACCATCCATGTGGGAGCGTCTGTAATGTTAGCGTGTGTAATGACTGATGAAGTTTCACCTGATTGTTAACAAAATTTTAAAATATGTTTATGGTGGTCAAAGTAACTTCAAGACCATGATATAAAGGGGGAGAGCAGGGTAGCACTGTGGCTAGCTGTGCTCAGTAGCTAACAGGTTAGCCCATTTTAGCTTGGTCAGTTCACCATATTAAGCCACAGTACTTTTAACTTTCTGTCAACAACAATCGTTTGATTTCTACAAGGAGAATAACTCGTTTTCTTTCTAAAATCTCTACCAAAGTCATTTTTAAGATGTTCCATTTGTCCTCCACTGCCTTCATATTTTAATTAAAAGAATAAGAGGAAGCACAAGACTTTTTGTGCCACCTTGTTAAATAACGGAGGTCATTCTGTTTTAGAGTGCAGTGCTTTCCCTCAAGACTGAGAATGATTATTTTCTACCTTTAGCTACTTTAGATCACAGAGAAAACGTAAAATAATAGCAAATATGTTATGGTAATAATATGTTCAGACCCCAGGAGAGATCTGATTGTTAAAAAATGGGTGCAGAGGAGAAGAAGAAGAAAGAGTCGGAAAGAGTGAAGGGAGGGGAGAAAGAGAAGCACTGTTCTCTGTTTATTCACTGGATTGCCCGTTAGTAGTACGGGCTGGAGTGAAGCCACCAGCCGCCATATTGGTACTCCCTAGTTAGACTGGTCACATTGTGAACGATATGTGTGCTACAGCATCAAACAACGATGATGTTCTCATTTTCAGGGGGGCTTAAGACTCGAGGAAGTCTATAAATCATGTAATATGACATATTATACAAATCCATTACAATAAAATTAATATGTTAATCCAACATAATACAGATGTGCCAAAAGTGCTAAATTGATGATGTACATGTAATATATATTTATTGATGACATTACTGTGTTAATTAAATATTACATATCATTACACGGTATCACATCAAAAATTACAAGCACGTGTCTGTTAATGACATGTAATATATATTTATTGATGACATTACTGTGTTAATTAAATATTACATATCATTACACGGTATCACATCAAAAATTACAAGCACGTGTCTGTTTAATAATGTAATATATATATATATATATATATATATATA